AATGAAGCATATACCTTCAGGTACGTATTTCTGGTGTTTGGTCAGCAATACTAGCCAAAAGACGTAGATACCTGTAGTACAGAAGCATTTTTGCCCTGGTGTCTGAGAAAACTTCCTGAAGTAGTGATGGTGAACCTTTTTAATGCCTAACGATAAACTTATTTTAACAATACCTTTTTATTGTCTCAGCCAGACAAGGGCTCTACGGATGCAGAACTTGCACTGAAACTACTGATTTACCATCATTGCCTTAAAATTAGACATCTTGCTACACAAAGGGACAAATGAAACCTTTAAAGATAAGCTTTTTCTAAAGCAGTTGGAGTTTACAGAAGGTAAAGTGCTTCACTTAACTTTTGAGTTGAGGTTATGCCCCTTGTATAACCTTTTGACTACAAATTCCCTTCAATTTCATGTTGATAATGAGTATTAAAACTCAAAGGCATTGAACCAATTGCTGTCAGTTGTGCCATTGCACAGATATATGCAAAATTATTAATTATGAGAAACTCCGATTTACCAAGATAGTAAGTAAACCCTTAATGGCAAGGATATAGCTGACTTGGGTGCAAATAAACTTATGCACCCTGGATGATTAAAAACTGGAGTGAAAGGAGGATGACAACAATATGTTCTACTACTATTAGCAATTTTGTACTCATTGATGATGATTCAACTGAGACTGGTGTAGCTGCAAGCATGACATATGTTTCCAGGAACTGAGGCCAAAGGAGGTGTTTTAACTCAAAGAGGTACCAAGCAAACAAGCCTTAATATGCACTACAAATTGGGCAGAGTACAGGATCAATGAACTAGTAGTGGCTTTAACAGATGAGGACACCAACTTTGTGGAGCTTGAAGACTTTTCTGTTGTATAGTTATAACACTGAGTTTCATTACCATGCCAAACTGCTCCATTATAGTTCATTCAAGGCCAAGAAGAATGACATTTCAAAGTGGAAATTTAAAGTTACACAGTTAAAACTCAGGCAATGAAAAAGCCTATTTCTTGTCACATTGTAAAATCTCTAGTTCTGCATGTACATATCCTTTAGTTCTGATTTTTTCCAAAATATGCATAATTTAAATACTAATTTCTATTAAAATATGCATCATAAAACATAGCAGATGCATGCAGACAATTAACATATTGTATTAACTTCTGCATTTTTCATTCTTTATTGAATCCTCTGTATTGCATTAACTTTATTTTGCATTTTCTTTGTCTTCCTTTCACTACCATAAAAATAATTTGGTTTTACTAGTGCTATTCTAAATGGTTTCAGGTGGATCAATTCACTTATCATTGGGGTGAAGAACTGAGGAGGGGTCAGCATGTACCTTAGCTGCTGAAGTAAATTTTCTGCTAGACTGCGTCAAGAGAGCAACAACTGCATCTGTTTGTATTGTTCTGTATCGGTAAATGAAACTTTCCTTTTTTTTTTTTTTTTTTTTTTAACAAAAGCTTGGTATCTGCAAAAGCTGTAAGACTGTGGAGACTATAATCTAAAATCATGAGAGCCACAATTTTTATGACTACAATCTTCTTTTCCTGGTGTTCAGGCAGTGGTTTTGGGGTGGATTGCACTGCATGCGTTCTGATGAGACATTTACAATCTCCTTTATGCAAATTACCCCAGCAGCTGTTTAAGAGCTGTGGTTGTCAGACCAGGCAAGGAGAATGTGATTTGGTATGTCACAAATGGGGCAGGGCTTTATTAGGCTCTGCTAGAAAGTTTTAGCAGATGCCTTAGCACAGATTCAGTGTGATCTTGTAACCCCGTTATAAATTTACTGCTTATGGAAAGGAAAACACAAAAAGCTCCCAAATACTGTGGGGAGTCTTGAAAATAAGCACTTCACACAATGCCTATTTCTGAATTAAGTGTAAATAATAAATACAATCATATCATCTAGAGTGGAAAAAATGCAGTTTTCCCCAAAGAAATCATATGCAGCTGAAGGAATTTTCCTGGGGAAAAATCCAGCAATAACACCTTTACGACTAAGAGAAAATTTTATGAGTAACCAGTGAAGACTGTTTCTTGCTTTTAAGAATGACTCACCATTAAGCAAATGCTACCATTTACAGGTATAAACATTAAGATCCTGTGATAAGAGTGTGAGGTGAAAATGCTGCATCTGGATTAACACTGGACAACCCATGGTCAGGAGACAGATTAAAAGATCCACAGAGAATTCTTTTAGGACTCAAAGAGAGCTCCATTTAGTCCACTTCCCTGTCATTGTGAGTTAATGTATTGCACGTTTGCTTTTTGTTAAGTTTCATCTTATACTGATGTTTCTTGTTCTTCTTACTCTTGTAATCACACAGCTCCAGAACCTCACTCCTAGAACAGGTAGCAGGAATTAGAGGTCCCTTACAACCTTCTGGTATTCAATATATAAATTTGACACCATTTCGCATAATTTTGCTTTTGGCAACATTGTTCAACTTTAACTCACTCAATTTCTTGCCCAATATTTATTCCCTGACACATTTCTAGACACTAATCATATCCTCTCACCTTCTGTTTGACTTTATATAAGTTAAACTCTCTTAAGCTCCTCTTGAAAAATGATGATGATCAGAAGAATGGGGAAGCTAGATGCTAGTAGCTATACGTCAGCAGTTTGGATTAATCTTTCCTGAATACAGTTAAATGGAAATATATATGGCATTTCAGATGAGGTCCGACTACTGCCTGTACAATGGCATCAGCACTGTCCTACCTCTTCCAGAAACACAGGTAACCTGATAGCATTTGCCTTTCACACAGCTCATCAGTTTGGTGCCTCCTAGATGTTGCAACTCGCTTTCATCCTGTTATCGAACTTTCTGGGAAGTAAAAAACACAATCCCTTTTCTTCTGCTCTATTAACGTGTATTTTACCAGGTATGCCTCAGCTGGCTGGCTGGCCAGACGTCACTACTGCCACCTAGTGACAATACGTAACACAAAACCGTCTTTAGAGGGAAAACTATTTCTGAGGTTTTAAGCCTCCGTAAAAAATTCTCAGAATTCTCCAGACTTAGTTTTTTAAATGCCACTAAGCTGTAAATTCTAAGTCCTCAGAAAAGTAATGTGGCCAGTCCTTATTTGAGTCTATTCGAGGACTGGAAGTTGGTAGAATCTGAGTTTTACATAAATACAAAATAAAATACTTTTAGAATATAAATATATTTCATGATCTATTTGAGTCTGTAAATATGACTACAGTTGTCTGCTATTCATCTAATGCTAGTTTCGACTTTCCTTTAAAGTTTGGGTTATGAACAAAAGAGAGTCCAAAGGAAGATGACTTGAAGGATCAGTGAAAACAGTTGTTTGTAACAGAAGTTGAATTTGACTTCAATTACATTATTTGCTATGGCAAATATTACAACATGGATAGCAGGCATCATGAAAAATCCTTCCAGTTGGCATTTGCAAATGTTACAACACTAAACTACACACTGAAGGAATTAAGCAAAGGATAAAGTTTTGTAACAGAATAATTTTAAGGCAAACCTCAGTACAGTTAAGTACATTATTCTTAATGTATCTGTGTTGCTTAGGAGGATATACTATATTCTTTCAAGATTGAAGGTCCATGCTCTGAAAACATTAGATCCAAAAGACAACTGAAAAGTAAAGGAAAAAAGAACTTGAATCTACTTTCTGTGTGTGCAAACACATAGAGCAGTCTTCCTAAAACCTGGTTGCTAAGCAAACACATTAGACCATAGACTGATGGACCTGTCTGATAGACAATGACTTTAGGACATTGACCATTTATAAAAACCACTAACATAAACACTAGAATTGAAGTAATTTTTTTTCAGAATGTGAGTTTTTCCACCAGGAAACTAGAAGTAACTGCCCCAAAGGGCTTCAAGTATGATTAAAATGAGCAAAATACAACAAGTTAGGGTTTCACCTTTTCATCTGCAAGTATGATCAGAATAAACTTCTTACATTATCTCAAAATTGGGTGGGGATACACAAGATCTATTAAACCTCTATAGTCTACAACTTAAACATTTTCTTTTCCCCAAGGACACCTTTCTCCCACTCCTCTTGTACAATAACCTCTGCAATTATTTCATCTGATCCCACAGAACTGCTGGCTTCCCACTTAGAGCAAATTCTTGAATGGTTTGTGCCAGCTTTATATAGAGGGCTGTCTATTACAATTTAGTGTCTATGTGAATTGAAGCTGTCCACTATTTTCTGGGATTAGTTTTCTTTAGTCATCTCTCTTTTTATTTAACGTTTGTCTGAACCTGGCATGTTACCTTTGTAAAAGTGGCCGAGCATAAAGAACTACCATCTTTAAATTACCACTAACTAAACACTACATCCAGCTTTGAAACCTGCTGCATGGGTTTCCCAAATCAGTTTTCTGGATGCTCAAACGTAGCTGCTTTCCCCTATGCAACACCTCTCCAACTGGAAGCAATGGAACTGGCTGGGCACTCATCTAAGCATATATTTCAATTTGCCAAAAAAAAATCAGGCTTTCTTCAAGCCTAGTTCAGTGAAGGTAGCCCCTTCTCCATTCACACTGATACCCCTTCCTCACTCTCTCCTCATATATCCACCAACCAGCAGCTATCACATTCCTCCACCATTAGCAAGAGTTGTCTCCTCTGTGGCTTCTGCCATTTGGAATATTCTGTTCCTCTCTTGACATCTAGTAACGCAGCTCTGTCCACACACCACGCTCTGTCCTGTCCTCTTCTTTTTTTTTTTTTTTTTTTTTTTTTAAAATACCAATCTACTGGCAGTTTTAAAACCAGCCTGTGAAGACAGCTGGCCAGAATGACATCACAAAACTGAACCAGAGCCACATTCAAACTTTTGTTTAAGTCACCAGTGGGGAAGAACCCAAGTGGCCTGAAGTATTTTCACTAGTTTCCATTATAAAGAGGGTACTTGAATGGGGAAGGTAAGCAGAATAGCCCTGCTCTGCACAGTAAGAGGTTCTGCAGACAGACTCCCTTTGGCCCCTCAGACCAGAGGTCCCACTGCTTCCCCTGCCCTCCTCTGGCGAGGTCTGGCAAAGGCAGGGCACTAGGAGCTCCGAGGGCTACCACCAATGGGTCTCCTGTGCCTGGATGGGGAGCTTTTGTCAGCCCAACTGTGTTGGCTCCACCTCTGTCAACACCAAATGTGGCACCCGGACAGCAATTGCCACTGTGGTGTTTTTTGTGAAAAGGTGGTTGTACCACTGACAATGCCAGAAGGGTCAGGGAGGGAAGAGTAACACAGGATGTGTTCCCAACTGGAAAGGTGTACGTTGTCCTTCCCAACATTGGTGGTGGTTTCGGCTGCAGACTGCTGATCCCTGGCATTTTAGGGTCCTCTCTGAGGTTCATTTTGGCTTTATCAGTTAATCATGTCAGGAGAAGTCATTTTAACTCACATGCCTTTAGGAGTAATTATACATTTAAATGATTAAACAAATCAGGAAGAAAACGTATCTACTCCAGAACGAAAGCAGTTAATATTGAAATCCTTTTTTTTATTAGTATCACAAGTCGTTTGTAAATAACATGCTCATTTTAGATATGTAAGGAGTTCTGCCATGCCCTGCAAAATAAATTATATTTTATTGGTGCCCGGGTGTTTCATAACTTCTATTTATTTGCTGCAAGAGTGGAGAATTAAGATAGAGTAGTTTATTTCACCAAAAGACTGACAAATGGCTCATTAGACACTTATGGAGCTGAAGCTAATTGTACGATTTTTTGTTGTATTAATTGTCACTGCCTGCTTAACTGGCTAACACTGGTCATCAATACAGAGCTTTTTCCTTTCAACCTCCAGAAGAGAGGTGTAAAAAAAAGGGAATTTAAAAATAAACAGAACAGTATTTATTTCCTAATATAAACAAAAATACTATTTGGATTGGAGGAGCATGAGGGAGGAATAAGAGAGGATTAATGTGCTGGCTGTTCCCCACTGGGGCTACCAATAACAATCAATCCCAAACAGCAGTCACCTCACATCATCTAACAGCTTGAATCGCAGATATTCAAAGATTCTCTCTCCCCCTTTTTTTTGTTCAGATTAAATATCATTTACATTGCATGCCTTTTTTTTTTTTTTATTTCGTCGGAGACATAAGGTCAGAATTGATTGAATATGTACTACCTGCATATAATGATTTCCAGTTTTTTACAATCATGTGCTAATGCTGCACAGTAATGGCCTATGGATGAAGAGACAGATGTACTACCAGTCATTCGCTACACATTTGCATTAACAAATCATCATTTAATTGAAGCCCATCCAACAAGTTTATGCTACTTAAATAAAGTTCCTTTCAATAAAAGATGCCACAATGACACATGGTTGTTAACTGCAAGGTAAATAAAAAGTAGTATTTATTTTCTTGTCACTGGTTTAGGTAAGAATTAAAACATACACTTATTAATTTGTATTTTGCTCAGAAATAAACCACCTGACATCTAACATAGCAATCCAAGCTAGTACTACTATAAGATGAGATAATTCACTTTTAGAAATAATCGTTTTGTAACACCACAATTTCATGCTTTACAGATTTTTATTTCCCCCCAAAATATATAATAGAACATAGCTTATATAAAGGCTATACATGAGTTGTGTGTTAATACTTTTAGGCAAGCTCTAATAATACAAACGTCAAACCCTGCTGTTATCAACATGGGCTACAATTTTTTTTATGTCTCATTGTTGACTACAAACATTGGCACCACACTTAGAAATCTAGTTGCCTCCCTCTACAATTCAGATACTGCTTTCTTTTTAATACTGTCTAGGGAACAATTCAGGTAGGTTGTGATGCCCCTACATGTTTCAGATATAGAAAAGAACTATCCATTTCTTCTTTCAGAGCGTGTTGCAAAATATTAAAATCTGAGAAGAAAGCATGTCATAAAATGAGGCACCTATAAAAACAATTTTCTTCTAGAGATGGTTTAACAGTACTTTCAGTACACTCATTTCATGGTACATTTTCACATCTGCAAAGCAGAAGAAAGATATTTTGGTACTGTCTGTCTGTTAAACTGACAAACAATACTTAGAAGCTAACATGCAGGGACAAGGAGATATATTTTTAATTGTGTTTTTGGCTTAAATCTACATTTTCTAGAAACCAGAATCTTTTAGGATGAAAGCACTATATAAATGAAAGATGGTATTAGTAATAATAGTTGACATCTTTTACTGTGCTGGTATTGGCTTACATCTAAACACATCATTGCAATCTTTTATTTACCTAAATACAAAAGTAATCAGCTATTTCTGTTTTCCTGATGATACACTGAAAATAAAGTATTTATTTAAAAAAAAAAAGTATCTTAGGAAAACTAGCAAGTACATTCTGAGAGTGGGAGAAGGCAGTGTTTTTCTAACCAGAGAAAAGAGAGTTTAAAGATGAACAGGTATCTTTTTCTTCCCTGCAGGACTGTGTGGGAACGTGAGGAGACAGGGGAGTCTCCAGGTTGACCTTTTTTTTGTTGTTGCTGATGACTGAAAACAGAGAAAAAAATTTCACCATACCAAGATTGAAACTACAGAGTGAAATTCTGAAATGTACCTTAAAGCACATTGTAGCATTCAAGAAGAGATAAACCCGAAGATTTATTTTCTCAGAGAAGAAGCAGTGTATAAAAGCTACAAAATGCAAAATGCAATCCCATACAAAATAAACAGACATACGAAAAAGACCCTACTGTGATTTGCCTGTATGTTCTCCAAGTTTTTTTTAATATGCTAACTCAGAACAGTAATTACAGATCTTGCAAGTTGACTTCTGTTTTCCAGAACTACGAGTTGTACGTAAAACATGCCTTTTCATCGAAACAATTACCATTAATCAAAACAGTGAAAGCTAATACCACTCAAGTCCAACCTACTGCTGTGCCCAGCAATATATCAAACTGTCTGTTGTCAAACACACTAAACAAACTTCAACAGATTGTTTTCACTACAAATAAGAGCAAACATGCTCGCTAAGTATTTTTTAGGCAAACTGCAACCTCAGTAACCCACTCTGTCACTGGATTTTAATTTGAAGTAGTCAATCACAGTCTCAGCTGATCCATATTTGACTACAGAGAGGTAACTCACTGGGACTAACAAATGCGTACCTGCAAACGACTACTATAGCCCCAAATTTGTTTAGCAATTTATATCTATGTACTCAGGTTTGCTCCTTTACTCCATCAACTTCTTTCAACTATGAGATTTTTAATTTAAAAGAAAGCAGAAAAATTAAAACTATGGAGTACTTTTCACTGTCCTAGGAACACTTAACTGACAGTTTAATAATAATGTATTTTCTTCCAAGTTCCTGTTTAAACTATTACTAGCATTTTTAAAGAAAAATCTTCATTACAAAGAAACTGCTGCTTCAGAATTTTTTTATGCATTAACAAAAACCTATCTCTAGCAAGTCAAATTCATATTAAAAACAGATTCCATCCATAACGCCATATTATAAATAGTCAACGAAAATAGACATACTTACACTTCTCATGCCACCTCCCCTGCCCTACCTAGGAGTCATAACTATTTTCTTAATAAAGACATATGGCATTTGGTATCTGACAGAAAAAAATGTTTACCAGTGAAGTCAGTCTTTTCTGCAATTGGTAATCAATGCAGAAACTGAAGTTTTATATAAAAGAAGAGATACAGAAGGACAGGAATATTGGAGTTTAACAAACAGATCAGGCCTTTATTACCAGCAAGCTCCATTATGGATTTGTGAGCTTTGTAAGCCAAGCTCCCGCAAGTGTAATTAAATTTTTATTTATAATGTGTTTGTGACTGTTAACTTCGTTGTTGCCTCTGCTTGTTCCCCCCGCCCTCCCCAATGCGAAACAGTATTCCACATTTACTGCTGCAGGGAGTGGCGCTTTATTCAGTCACTGAATTCATCTCTAGCTTTATAAGAGGTGAGAAGTACAAATAAACATATTGTGTATTATTTATACATAAACACCCATGTCTTTAAGCATAGATATATACATATACACTCCTGCATGCAGATGCTCTAAGGCAAAACTGAGGACAAAAGAAGTACATGTCAGTTAAAATTGAACACATGTGAGCAAGCATCACTTTTTTCTACCAAGAGCACTATTTATCACATATTTATGTCTCTCACGGAGAGACAGGAAAGCTTCAGTAAGACAGGGCAATGCAGCACTGCAGAGTACATTTTATGCTGCGAGCCATGTCTGAGATTAGTGTAAATGTATCACGAAAAGGTTTTAAACTCCAACAAAGCCAGCATCTACGGTTTATTTTTTTGTTCATTTATGAAGGGGACTTCATGAAAAAGCCCTCTGACTCACAGAATATAATTTTTATTTTTTGTATTAACTCCATTCCCTCCTCCATTCAGGTATTACCCCCTGGTACCAGTAGTTATATATATATTAAAAAAAAAGCTTAATATAAGTAACCACAGGAGGATCTCTTCTCCCCTTGAAAAACTGCAAATAAAGATGTCAGCTATTGAGTATATTTGTGGCGTCTCCAGCAGCTGCTGTTAAATACCAGCTGGTCTAGCTGATTAAAATTACCTCCGAGTTGGTATTATAAAGATGCCTGGGCAGCGTTGCTGTATTAATGGATTATTGAGTGAGCGATGAAAACCTTGGCCAGCTGATGCGTTTTATTACAGATAGGCTTTATGATGTGTAATCACTGTAATTTTTATAACTAGAGGAAACAGGAAAAAAAGAAGAACCTTCTTTCCCCCCTTACACATACCAAAATCAGTTAAACCAGATCATTTTTTTTCACTGGTCTGTTACTTAGGAGTTAGCTAAACAAATAATTTGGTTTTTAATAGTTTCTGTATATGTAAGACTTTATGCACACCCACACATACACAAAGAACGAGAAACTCTATGTTTAAGGCTACACTGTATTCACCTATTTCACGTATGTTTAGGTTTACACACTGGGTATTTATTTCATCCTTTGACTACCAGGCAAGCACTGCAACCAGCTATGTGAGATAAATCCTTGTGCATTATTTAATGACTGAACTACACTGCAACACATCTTATATTCTCCAGGTTCAGCAATTCAAGCAGCTAGGTCTTACATCTGGTCTCTCACTCTCCTCTCTCCCTCACTCTCCTCCCCTCCCTGCCCCAAACCTTCACGCAGTACATCCTTTAATAGTCTCTCAAACTCCCCCCACCCACCCTACTAACCACATATTTACCACACTGTCTTGTTTTCTGATGGCATTTTTGTTTGATCCCAAACTTACTGTGGTGATTAGGAAAATCAGGTAACTGTTAACCAGTTTGTGAGACTTAAGAAAAAAATAAATGACTGGGCACTTGGAAGATTCAGCTGTATT